CTTAAAGAATCCGCTTTGCTATAGATTTTTAGTTTTTTAATATAATATAACGTAATATATTATACTCCAATAAACGTTTCTCTAATAATTAGATTTATTTCTACATTATGTAGGTTTCCTAAATTTCTGAGAAACACTACATACTTGACTCCTAGAATCTATAGCATTAGAGTAAAGAGATAAACGTTTCTCTAATAATTAGATTTATTTCTACATTATGTAGGTTTCCTAAATTTCTGAGAAACACTACATACTTGACTCCTAGAATCTATAGCATTAGAGTAAAGAAATGTGAGATGTTAAAATCTTGTTCAAAATAATCGAGTATGCGGCGGCCGTAGTAGTTTATATGTTTCTACCTCAAATATTTCTGCTGTCGGTATACCAGATTTGCATAAAATCCATTAAGTGAACAATTTCGTCTTCGTAGATATCATATCAATATTCTATATTTAACTACAAACAACACTTGGGTGTTTATATTATATATCGGTATTCTATGTTTTACCACAAACAAGACTTAAGCATTTTCCCTGCAAATACCTTAAGACTACAGCTCATTAATAATATTAATCGCGAATACAGTCAAAAGAAGTATGTAGAAACCGCTTAATATTCCGTGGATTATTATGGACGTGTGCGAGTTAGGCTAAGCTATTGCTAAACCAAATGGGAGATTTTTTGGGATTTTTTACACTACACACATTTAGCCATTTATCAACACGTATCGACACATCACTACATTATCGGCACAACTTAGAATTTCCCTCATTTAGAACGCAACTTAGTCTAACTCGTACACGACCTATAACAAAAAGTTACTAGATTGTAATCTGTAACTCTAAGTTAAAACCTCTAACTTATAAGAAAGTTTAATATTTAAATGGGGAATCAAATTTTAATTATAAACACATTAATCCTATACGCCCTTAATAATATTTAAAACCAACAACGCCCTTCTCCTCATTGTAACAAATATTAATTAAAAAACATGTGTACAAGTTTTGGGAAATTTTGGAATTAGCCGAAAGCATTAATTACACTTTTTTTGGGAATGTTCGGTTGGTAAATTTTTTTTAAATTTGTACAAGTACAACGCATTGTTGTTGTTGTATCTGTTGTGCATTTGACAGGCTACGGAGTTTACCCTTGCGATAGTGTGACAAATGCCAGGATAAAAAGAATTCAGTTATTAATAAACAAAATAATAGAGAGGAACGAATTCGATACAATACAGAATCATAAAGCAAACATAAAACCATAATTCCGTACGAAATTCCCATGCAACGGTAGCAGGTACAAGGCAGTAAAACATCGCACTAGGGAAGGAAGGAAGTGCACAAAGGTAAAGGACATAATCAATTTAGCTGTGCATTATCCTGCGTGGCGTTACAATGCGTTCCTTAGCACTTTTCAAGCTACTGCTGTTCATTGCTGTTGTTGTCTTTCAATAGCTGCCTTAATAAATAAGTTCGTGCCTGAATTCTTGTGAATGAAATCCAAGGAATAATAATTTAAAGTTATGCTCCGATTTTTATGGTTTCCTGTCGCACATAAAATGCAACAAAAACAACCCAAGAACTACTAAAATAAATACGAACCTTATAAACATATTGCACCGCACAAATGGTACAAACGTTCCAGTGCTCAGTAAACAGGATAAGAAGTATCTGTCCGCGTGTACTTATAGGTATGTGTGAATATACAAACAGATTCGTTTGTCATTAACGATGTCGTCATGCACGTAGGAAGCCTTACAATGCATTTATTATTTAGCATGAGGAGCGCATATGTCTTGGGTATCGTCTTGTCTACACTTCTTATGCAATTTTCTTTTTTTTCTTATTGTATCTTAGTAGTACCTTCTGCGGAGTTTGTCCTTTGCTTGTAAATTCATAAAAATGCAAAGAATAGATTAAATTACAGCAAAAGAATCCATCAACATAGCAAGCATTAAAGCACCAAAGGTTCTGCCTCACCTCTACAAAAACAAGGTGAAGATAAAAGGAAAAAGTGTAAATATTTATACACAGTTAGGGATGTGAATGTGTTGTAGAATGTGGATGGATACTTCATTAGAAGAACCACAGCTACAGCGACAGCTACAGCTGTAGTTAAGGTGTCACTCCATTGGACTTATATTAATGGAGTTATTTGCAACATAATCTTGAATGATAATATAAATGGAAAATGCTTTTATATGTCATAAAGATTTTAATTGCATTGCAGACAATCGTATATGGTGGGTCATGGCGTGCTCGCAACGTATATAAATTATAATGCACATTATCTTGTAGAAATCTGAGTACGTGAATTGGATTAAAATGTTTAAACTGACATTTATTATCACAAGTTATGCATTTTGTGCAATGAAATAATGCAGTTGTCGTTATTGTGCTATAAAAGGATTAAAACTCACATCTGGAGTTGCATAAAAAACCTATTATAAATATTTATATTGGAGATAAGCTATTGTGGTAAAGAGCAAAATTAGATAACGAAGCTTAAGATGTACCAAACCAATGCTGGTTCTAAATAATTAAAACATTAGTTATGATAAAACTTACAACATGAAAATATTGTAATATGAAAATTTAAATAATCGCTACATATTAAATAAATTTGTAGTAATAATGTACTGATTGTAGAAATAAATTGGACATAATATTTTATGTACCTATGTTAAATCTTCTTAGGTTTATTACAAAACCATATTTTATGTACCTATGTTAAATCTTCTTAGGTTTATTACAAAAATGAAATTTCGAATTATTAATTAAATCTTGTCATTAGATTCTAGCTGTACTTGTCCCCGGTTTTTATCAGAACCAAAACGAGAATACTAAGCCGATAATCTGCTATCTTCGTTTTATGTCAGAACGATCTTAACAACTGACACTTTAGTTTTCATTTGAAAGGCAGAGTGACTTCTATTCAATTAGGGTTACTTAAGTTCTGTTAGGGTCTGAAAAAAGCACAATAGATTAACAGTGCTCTGCTCGTCTATGAACGAGTATCCCGTACAGCTTCTCTTCTAACACTTAAAATTACTAATTACTATTTAATATTTATTAAAATTCACAAATCACGAAATTCCAAGTTATTAAAATAAAAAAGTGTAGAGTGAAACAATGTCGTTTTAACCAGAAACTATTTATTCTCATATTTGGTATGTTAATTTCAAATTCTTCTGAGTATGGTTTCTCGCTATTATCATGTCATTCCATCAAACTCAAATATCCTTACTTACTTGCATTGTTGTCCTGTGATTATGGGAATACAAATTATACAACCAAATATACCAAGACAAGATAATATTTATGTTTTGTTTTTCTTTTTTTTTTTGTAATAAATATTTTTTATCCGTCTATCATATTGCACATCTAAGACTAGAAACTGTTACCTTTCTGGTAAAACACTTAAGAATTTCACTTTTAAATGCCGTCATGCAGCTGAGAAGTTAATGGAAAATGCATTTTACTCTATGCTATATTCCCTCAGGATGCAAGTTGATATACTCCTGTTTGCTATGTTAACTTTTTAGTATCTTCTTAAAATTGTTATTGTTGCTTTATGTAATTTCATTGTAGGAAAGTGAAATTTTTTACAAAGAAAAAGTACAAGATACATAAGACAAAGTTAATACATACATTGTATACATTGTTTAGAATTGATAGTATAAATGTTTAATTAGTTTTCTTAGCTCTTAAGTAGCTGATCCCTTACCATATTTCTTAGCGTCTTACATTTTAATTAAACTCGACGTGCTTGTGAAATTTAATACAACTGCTAATACTAATACGACTAAGTAAATTGTTTTAAGAGTATTAAAAGGTATTAAGTAAGTGCTAAGCAAATATGAGTAATCATGTAAGCGATATTGCAAAACAAGCTAACAAGAAAAGTATTGATAGGAATGATTAAAGTAACTGAAAGGTTGGAATTTGAGTTAATTAAAAACAAGCAATATAGTGAGGTCTAACTATATAGCTCTACTAGAGTTTCAAATACATTAATTAAATAAAATTAAAATGAAAAAGAAGACTTTTGATTTTCATTGGTCAGACTTCACTCGCAGCACAGCAAATGTTTCTTAATTAACTTTGTTAAAGACTTTTTATTCAAATATGTATATAATATATACATAGGTCTATTTTGCACTTATTTTGTAAGGGTACAATATGATATAGTCAAGTAATTTCCTCAATTTATTAAATCGATTCGTTTAATCCACAAGAAGTAAGCATCAAAAACTTAGAATGATAGATCTAGATAAATTGAATCAAGTTATCATTCTGCTCATGATTAAAAATAGTTAATATGATTTTTAATAATATCTTCATTATTTTGTAACAAATTTTTTAGAAACTTAATGTACTTAAAAATATTTGTTATAGTAATTAATTTAAATATTTAAAATGTTGTTACTAAAACTAGGCTTTCTTTGTTGCTGATGTTTCTGTTTGTAATAAAACAAATATTAAACAAAATACATATTTAACAAAATGTATGAAAGACAATCGATTTATCTAGCTACAGAAGTATTTCATTGAAGTTTTCGAAACGAACGGCACTTTTATTCACTTAATTCCAAATTATTACATTAATATAATGTATTATATTTGTAATTGCTACCATATTTATTTGTATTATTATTATTATTTTTATTCATATTAAAAGTTAAGTTGAGGCAAAAATATCTCTTATGATACAGCACAAGAAAACACAAAGCAACAATGTCAATGCAAAAACTATGTACAACAGAAGCAACAACCCATATATAGAAAACGGAAAAAATAAATTATATTTATATATATTTTCTCTACTTTGCCTTCCATAAAACACTTTCGACTTTAAAAATTTAAATAATATAGGAAATTACAATAAAATAATGTAAATAAATAATTAAACGAAATAGGTTTGACGTGATATATAAATATATAAATAAAGTATATGTAAAAAAAATAAAAAAATAATAATAATGAAAATTAAAAAAGTCAAATAAAAATATAAAAATTTATATTTTATTAAAAAATACGTTTTAAAAAAAAATTAATAAACTTGTTCAAATAAATGTATATAAATTTATTTGTTATTTAATAATAATATTAATAATCTTACATATATTTTGAAAAAAAAAAAAAAAAAAAATTATTTTTTATTGTAAAAATTGAAAACAATTCTGTAATAAATTATTTAATATATTGAATATATTTTACAATTTAATATTAGGTTCAGTGAGTTATATTAAAACCCCAGCATGTTATCATTTAAAAAAAGTTTTCCTAATACCATATTGAAATATAAAATTTTAAAAGTATATCAATTTTAAACCTTTTTCGAATATCCTTATCTGAACAGAATGAATATAAAATATAATGATATATTGTACTCAGAAAGTGCTTTTTCACGTCCAGCATCAATTAACTCTAGTGAAAATCTCATATGCATAAAACGTGACGCAGTTACCACTGGTATGTGTGTAAAATTTATAGGTTCTCGGTTCCTAGAAATTTTCAAACACTTCAGTTAAAAAACTGAAGGCGATTTTCTTCAATGCCTTGTGACAAAATGTCCACTTAACGTACGAGTATTTAATATTTTTTAGCTATTATGTAGGCAGCAATTTTTTGTAGTCATTCTCGAATTTTATCTTTATCTTAATAGGCACTTCAATTTAAGCAGAAAAAAATACTGGTGACTTAAGTGTTTTGGCAGCCGTAAGATAAATGAGAATATGAGCTGAAAAAATACAAAATCATTGTTAAATAAATACGTACAAATCAAAAGGCAGCTTTAAGGCATGCTGAGCACTTTAAGTAGCTCTTGTAAAAAACTGAGCTCCATGAATTTACTCGTAGAATTGAGACTCAACCTAAGACGACATGGCAACTATTGTACCGCATGGCACAATAGACAATTATTGTTCAAGTGTAGTTCATATAAGTCTATTAAATTGTTAAAGTATTTTTATTTTTAGCAAACTTTTCTAGAATTCTAAGTGAATTAAATTATTTGCACCTTAAAGCGGTTTTAGATGTAGACTGAAATTGAGTAAGAAAAACTCAAGATATCAAAAATCTAAAATTTAGTAAAAATATAAATACTTTTGACGAGCTTTAGGGTTTTCGTTCAAAATTGTACAAGCTTGCAGTGGCGTATCCAAATGGGGGATTAGTGGATAGAAGTGCTTATGTTGACAATATAAACTATAGATAAAACATTGCAAAAAAAAAAACGCCTTAGCTATAATAGATTATTCTTTTATAATCTAATGTTTAAGTTAATGTATATATATTAGGGTGCCATTAATTTTCGAAAGTCGGAAAATTGCCCGCGACACCCCCTAGATCGGTTCATTTTACTAAAAAAATAATCTGTGTAAAATTTTAGTTTAATTGGATAAGTGGAAATAGTGCCCCAAGAGCCTCAAAGATTGGAAAATAACGATTTTTTCCATAAAATTCATCTTTGATTGTTTATATCTCCGACATATTTAATTTTACATAACAACTGTCTTCCTAAAAGTTATAGATCTATTAAAAAAAAATTGCCCATATACCTTAATGGCACCCTAATATATATACTTCTAAAAATAAAATAATGTTTTGGGTATATGATTCGCTTTTACTATAGTTATTGTACGGCAATCCGAAACATAGAATGTCTTGGGACTTACATATGCTTGGGATCCAATATTATACAGGAACATAGAAAGTCTTGGGACTTACATATGCTTGGGATCCAATATGATATAAAATCATAATTTTCTATATTTAAAAATAATAAACTTTTTGCTTGTAATGAAAAACTATTAGATTTTGTCAACTCGACTATGTTCAATTTTGTCAATTGCTCACAATACTAAACTTTTGAAAAATTAATTCTTTTTCTGGGGAGAGCCCATATGTTTTTCCCATATTGTCATTTGGATAGTTACCATAGAAGTTTACACTGGAGACACCAAATCTAGTTGCGTATATACCAAACAAACGATGATCTAACAGTTATATCAGATTGCCAGGACTGTTTATTGAACTTAGCGGAGTGTGCTTTATAGCATTTAACAACTGTATTTGTACCATACAGTTGTTAAATGTTACAATGGATGCTGTCTATTATAATTATTGTGAAGGATATACTACTCATCGTGACTCTATTGATCAATTGTGCTAACCCTAGTCACTGATTTGTGTCATCTTGTAACTACTTCTTTAAATATCACTTTTATTTGATATTTTAATTTCATAAAACCAATAATTTATTTATTTAGTAAAATTTACTGAACATTTTAAAAGAAGTGATAAAATTTAATTTTTATTTTATGTGAGTGTGAATACTAGTATATTATAATATGAAGTATAATTTCCTGAACGTTTCTCTTTAAATTATTTGCTAAATAATTCTTCAGAAAATTATACTCAAATTGATTGTCCAGTCATAAAAGTTAAATAATTTAAATATTTAGACCTTATGCCTTCCGTTTTCTAAATAATAGCCTTTGAAGTAAGCGAAAAGTTCAACTGAGTGATTTTTTATTATAAGATATTTTTGATATTAAAATAGATAGGTATATAATCAATACATTAATCCCTTCATCACAGCATTAAAATTTATTACTGAACTATGTAAAGATAGTTATGTGTTATTAAACCAACATTCATTTCTTTGCCTCAAACATGGCAGCATAGATTTTACTTTTATTTCTTAGTTACATACTCGCACATGTATCTATTCGTATGTAGTTTTTATCTTTGTTACATAAAAAATAGAAAAAATAGAGCATCAGCAATATTACAAAATTGTATCTATACTTGATGTAGGTTGTAAAGTTTATTTATTGTTAACTTCAACGAGGTGAAGATAAGACAACAGATAAGCAAAAAAAATGTTAAAATGCTGGAAAAAATTGCGTAAATGTCTTGGGGCAGATATAAAAACAAAAAACTTTATTTTCGTTATGAAAACTTTAAATTGTGTTATGAAAAATGATTTCAAATCTTAAAAAAAAACTTCAAAATAGATTTATTTTTAGATAAACGTGTGTATACTTTCAAAAGATTTTTGAAATATAGAACTTTGAAACGAATAATCAAAATGGGATTAAAATTAAATTAAGAAAATATTTATACTTTTATTTATTGTTATTACATTTTTAATCTCTGTTGAGATATAAAAGCTGTCTGAAGTTGAGGCTAATGGGAATAGCCTCAAAAGTTTACCTGAGGCGTTGGCTAAGAAACGGAAATGGTCGGAGGTGAGAAATGTGTTTCTGGGTTAATAAACAAATTAACTTAAAATGAGTTAAAAGTTGTGGTATTTTATGTAGAAAAGCTTATAATATATTAGCTACATCTGAGTGTATTATATAAATTTAATTAGTTTAGAAATTTTTGAAATATGTACTTTTGATATTAAGCATTTAGTTTATATTATAAAGAATTTTACTCTGTATTCTAATGGTAGTGCACTTTTTGTAGTGAACTATGGGCTAATGCATATTTATTTTTGTTTAAAGAACGTATATCTATAATAACCCATATAACAAAGTCAATTAGACTGTTGGATATGTGCCATACCAACAAAGTATGTCTGCATTTTGCTTATTTATCCGCGTACGTGTGCCACACCGCAGTAATAAATATTTATTTAATGTCAATCATTGACATTGGGTAAACATTTTAAGTGCCTAAAGTGTATTTCGTGCAAGCTATTAAATCCGAAGCGTCAATATACATGTTAAACGTAATTAAAACAATTGCAGCAAATCATTAGATATCAGAAACCAACCGCCCCCCAATATCGTTGCACTATCCAGCTATCCAACTATCGACAGCTTATGTTAACGAACTCTGCAGGCAGCTGAAAATATCTTGATACGAAATCAGGCAGCATATACATCAATCGATTAAACAGTTGTTGCACACAAAAATAGATACAAAACCAATCACATTTTTATTTCAGTATTAAATTGTTCCAAAATAAAATTCAACAAGTTCGACATGCACCATTTCGGTGGCAGCCTGAAAGACACAGACACATTGCCGAAAAAATCCAAAAAAAGTGCTGTGTAAATATTTGGTGCAATACAACAGGGAATAGATAAAACCACAAAATGCTTTGAGTATAATAAAAATAAATTTCCTATGACATGCACTTTTCTTTAGCACAGCTACACAGATACTCTAACATAAATATAGGTACAAGATACCTTGACTCTTTAACCCGCTGTTTGTTTTTAATGAATTATTTTATTCTTTATATTGCATCTCAAAAAGAACAGATATTGCAGTTAACAATCATTATTGCAGTCATTGCATTAATTTTGCTAAGGCAAATGCAGTTCATTTGTAATTCGTATTCTGCTGGTATTTATTATCACTACTCAATGGCAAATGCATCTAACTAACGACAACATCAACAAATGCTGCACTTCTCTATTTGCGGCCTCAACTACAATTTTTCAATAAATTTTTGAAGTTTCCTTTAATGTTGTTGCCCTTGTAACTCGCGTTGAATTTAAAATTATTTTTTTTTTTCAAAATTTCACATAAAATTTGAAAATGTCATGTTCTACGTGCAATTGTTTATAGTCGGAAGCACTAATGAAATAAAATGTTGCTTTACACCCTCGCCTTAAAAATAGCTATGAAATATTCTAAATTTGAACGCACTTCCTTCCCTAAATTTTATGTTTTTTTTTTTGATTTTTTGAAAATTGTGAAGAATTTTTTTAAGTGTTTTTGACAACTTTGTACTCTTATATTCATTATATATAAACTTCGAAACTTCATCTTTTATTATAATAGTAAAGGGTGTATCTAGTAGGCAGGTTAATAATAATTTCAATTTCAAAATATTTTTATTAAATTTATTTTATTAATAAATTTATTAATTTACTTGATTTTTAATAAAATTAAAAGTAATTTTATACTACTGTTTCGTCATCTTTTTTTATTATTACGGTTTACTTCTTTTTTTACTGTTTTACAACACTGAGAAACCTATAGTTTCATTTTTAATGTCACTATACTATTACTATTATTATTTTAGTGGTTATAACACCTTTTTCATTTCACGCTATTGTTTAAAATTATTTTCTGAATGATTATTATCCTCCTCTCAACACAGCTAAATGAGTAATTAAAAGCACATACGTGGATATAGCGAAGATAATCGCAGTATAAAAAGATTTCTATCAGAACACAAGACTTATTTGGACATAATTGCATAAAAAACACAACAAACAACTGCTTGAAGTAAAACGGAGCCAACATTATGGTACTACGTTGGTATCCATGCTTATAGGCTTCATGTATATAACATAAGACTTCATATTCCCCATTAGTAACTTTATTAAAGTTTTGGGTTTGCAAAAAAAAAAGGAACTTTAATTAACCTTATATTCGGTGTCCATCTTTAAAGAAGAATATTTAAAATTCTCGGAACCCTTTAAAGTAGCTAAGTTCATAAA